TACTGTACATATATATATACACGTTTAAATATACGCATATAGGTATATATAAATGCATATTCCTTAGAAGCATATATATACATATACACAAAAACCGGAGGAACAGGGACGGAATCAAATATCATTTTATGCGGCAATTTTATACATTTATACATACTACTCTGACTTTCAAACATTTACGAATAACCTTCCTTAAGGTGCTCCAGGGGAATTGAATATGTTTTCTCGCCCTCAATCGTTCATTTAACCTACATTTATTACAAAAGCTCTCCTTTCTCTCTTTTTGTGCCCTTTTTTTTTTTTTTTTTTTTTTTTTTTGTAATTTTACTCTCTATATCCTGTAAGAAAAATCGCTCCTATAATTGCACTGAAAAAAAAAAATTTATTTGATTCAAATATTCTATTGACTAATTATTAAATAAATATTTACTTGAATTGAATAATTTTTATTTGAATTAAATAAATTTTTTTTGTACCAATAATTTATGTATATTTAAAAAAAAAATACTAATAATTATTTGATACAAATAAATATTTTATTTGATAATAGTAAAATAATTTTTTATTTTATTCATATATAACGAAAGTATTTAATTATAAACATTTTTGATTAATCAAATATTTGGAATATAATTTATAAGCAAACATTTTAATATTGTATAAAGTAAATGTTTTCTATATATGAGTCAAGAAAACTTGTGGCTAGAGAAATTTTTTATTTGAAATAAAATAAAATTTATTTGAGTCAAATAAAATTTATTTGAATTGAATAGATATGTATATATATATATATATATTTGTATAACAGCCAAATAACTTTTTATTTGTTTTAAATAAAAAAAAAATTATTTAGTTCAAAGTTTTATTTAGCCGAAATAAAATTTTTATTTAAACCAAAATAAATATTTAAGTCGAATAAAATTTATTTAAATTGAATTTGAATCGAATAAAATTGATTTGAATTAAATAAATATATATATTTGCCGAAGAGCCAAATAACTTTTTATTTGTTTTAAATAAAAAAGAAAATTATTTAGTACAAAATTTTATTTAGCAGAAATAAAATTTTTATTTAAAACAAATAAAAATTTATTTAAAGCAAATAAATAATTATTTTAAAACAAATATTTTTTTGCTTCTGAAAAAAATATATAACTTTATTTATTTTTTTTTTTTTTTGGTAAAAAAAAGACAAATTTTCCTAATTGTTACAAAGATAAATATATAGTATAATTATTGCTTTTTTATGTATATATTTGTAAAAATAATTTGCAACCAATCAATTTAATTGTAAAGATTTATGTATATATACATATGTAATTGCATATAAGCCCTTGCGTATATCAATAATGAAAGTAGTATGCGGAATTCCATTGATGACATCAAAGTATATACTTTATGAATGAGAGTCCGATTAAAATGAGTTTGGAACCCGCGGATTTTTTTAACTTTTTTTTTAATTATAATTTTTTTTTTTAACTAATTCCTGAAGCAAAAAGTCAGTCAAGATTTTACTAAAAAAAATTTTTATTTTTCACTTATTCAAATTTACTCTCTAAATTTGAATTAGTTGAAATTTATTATCAGTAAAATAATGACTTACTTTTTGCTTCAATAATTAGTGCAAAATAACTAATTAATAGTAAAAAAAAAAAAATAAAATAACTAATTAGTCAAAAATATAATTGAAAAAATAGTCAAATTTCACTAACTAAATTAATAAATAAAAGTTTCACTAAAATTTCAGTTACTTTTTTATACATAATCTAAAAATGAATTTAACTAATAATTAGTTATTTTTAATTAAATGATTAGTAGAAATTTTACTATTTGAATCAGTGACTAATTTTTGGTTTTAAATTAGTTATTTTTTACTAATTTAAATGTATAGAGAGTAGAGTGTATTATAATTATTTAGGCCTATTAGTATTATTATTACTCTCTAAATCTGAATTAGTAAAAATGTTTACTAATTGAAATTAGTGACTCACTTTTTGCTTTAGAATTAGTTAAATTTTACTAATTGTTAGTAAAATTTACTAATAATTAGTAAAATTTTACTAATTCAAAAGCAAAAATTGAGTCACTAATTCAAATTAGTAAACATTTTTACTAATTCAGATTTGGAGAGTAATATTATTATTATTACTACTATTATTATTACTATTTTATTATTACTATTATTATTACTATTATTATTACTATTATTATTACTATTATTATTATTATTATTACTATTATTATTACTATTATTATTATTACTATTTTATTATTACTATTATTATTACTATTATTATTACTATTATTATTATTACTATTTTATTATTAATATTATTATTACTATTATTATTACTATTTCTATTACTATTATTATTATTATTATTATTGTTATTATTATTATTATTATTATTATTATTATTATTATTATTATTATCATTATTACTATTATTATTTTTAATATATATTTCGTGATGTAAGATAATATTTAAAATATTCTTAATTCTTTGAAGCGAAAAATTCTTGAAAGTAAAATATTCAATGGTGGATTCGAAAGAATACCTTTACCGTGAAGGGTTGTAAAGAGAGAAGAAGAAAAAAAAAAGAAGACTACTCTAGGAAACATCAGCTATTCTTTTTCATGTGTATGTATGTATGTGTGTGTTGGTAAAGACTTACACGAGTTTTGTCGATTTAAAGTGTGTGAATGCGCCTTATATATACGGAGTATATAGAAAATGTTAGGGAATAAGAGGGCGCAGACTGCACGGGGAGACCACGCAGTAGACCATTAACCAAAAAAGATCGTTCTTATTTTCTTGTAACGCATCTTTGTTTCGCGCACGTTATATATATATATTTATTCGTCCAGAATCCGAAAAGGATTCTATATATGTATATATATATATATATATATAATCTGCGCGCGACTCTCATTTTCCCAAACGTTTCGAATAGCCGCCATTAATATATACCACTGGAATTGTATATTGATTTCTTTATCGACGCTTTAACAATATTTATACACCATATGGTAGGTAGTTTCCTGTGACATATGGTTGTTTTTCTCTAAAAATGGTATACATTTTTTTCCGATTGTTGTGTTTTTTTGAAAATATTCGAAGACTAATAATTTAAAGTACAATGAGGGAAAAATTTATTTGATTCAAATAATTACTTGACTATTATAAAAAAAAAACATTTTACTTGAACCAAATAAATATTTACTTAAACCAAATAAATAGTGTAGAAATTGCTATATTTGGTCCAAAAAATGGCTTGAAATGCCTCACCCACTATGGGTCAGACCTCACACGAAAAAAAAGTAGAATTTTTTACCCCAAAATCGGTATAAAAATTACCTGCAATTTTATCCTAGTTGAGGGCGCCACCGTCTATGTGAATTAACATTACCCGCGACAAAATTTATCCAGCGTTTTTTCAGTGGCTAGGAAGCATCAAAATGTGGCTTCATCTTGTGCTTCAAATCGGGTGAGACGTTTCATGACAATTTTATAGACGCCAGGTTTGGGCCATGACAAAATTTCTACCCGTGTATTTACTTGAATCAAATAAATATTCACTTGAACCAAATAATTTTTATTTAAATTAAATTATATTTGAGTCAATAATTTCTGGTACTTGAAACAAATATCATTTAATTGAAAAATTATTTTGGTTAAAGAAAATATTTATTTGATAATACTCTATATTAATTGTAAAAAAATAGAATTTTTTTTCCTCATGAAAAACATAAAAATCTAGAAAATCAGTAAATGTGATTGTCAATCTAGAATATCGAAATCAAGGGGGGTGTCGGTCGTTATAGTGGGTGTTCGTGAGTCGATGTTTGTGCTCGAAGTATCGGCGCATCGAGCAACGATGGTCACGAGGTATCGGAAAATCGATAGAAACCTGACTGACGCCAGCAAATGCGGTGGCAGTAGTGGTGCGGATTGTACCAAGTTTCACAGTATTAGTATATATATATATATATAAACGTATATATATATGTATGTAGTAGTATACATAGTAGTAGTAGTGGCAGTGATGGTGGCGGCGGTGCTTTTCCCCGGGGGTGGTAGTGGGGGTGAATCGCGCGTTGTCACTTTTGCTCGGATGTGAGAACGAAACGGTCCGTTGGATCAAAATTTGGGTGTTGTGAAAATTTTCCCCACTTCGCGATTTGTCTGTGTAGAAAAAAAAAAAATTACAAAATCCGAATTTACAAACATTGGCGGTCGATTATCGATAATCAAGATCGAGCTTTTAACCACCGATCGTCGCGCTTCACGTGCATTGCCGGGTAAGCTTGATGAAGAAGAGGTGGGGTGGAAAAGAGAATTGGAAATTACAAATTGAAAGAAAAGTGTGAGGAAGAATTATATATAGACAAATATGTGGAGGTAGGATATGAGGATAATAGTTACACCTGGACCAAAGTAGAAAAGAGAAGGTTGACGAGAATCAGGGTGTTGGAAGTTTTTAAAGAGGGGTTGAAAGAAGAAATAAGGGGGGTAAAGGGGGGCACAGCTAGAAGGGCTGTCTCGGGCACCGGTGGGCACGAAGTAGCCTGCCGCTACAGAGCGGGCACCCCTCTCTCCTCTCCTGGGCTTCGCACTCACTCGGGTGCAGAGTGTGCGCTCACTCGCTCCGCGTATGTCATGGGCGCACGGTGGATGACAACGAGAAAGCAGCAGCAGCAGCCTCTGTGGAAACGGATCTCTATGCCGATCCCAGGGAATAAGTGTTTAGACGAAATTGAAAATTGTTTTGATAAAATTTATGTGAAAAAAGTGGTGAATGCAATTGACAGTGGGATAGTGAATATCACGTGGAGATTATCAACAACGTGTTGGTTGAAGGAGTTGTTGCCGGTGCCGGACACGATAGCTATCAGCTGAGCTGATTGGAAATCGAAGGTCGAGTGAGGGGATTGTGTGTTGTGCACGCCGGTGGTGTCGTCTATAGGAGAAACGCACGCCTCGCGAGTGCGCCTCCCGAACTAGATGTGCGTAAATGGAAGGTATAGAGGACATAGCCGATCATCAATCGCATAGCGAGCAATTACTGGACTCGGTCGATTCTCCAACGGCGATTTCTACGCAGGGCCGCATTAATAGGGGGGGTGGTGGTTCGAATGGGAACTGTGTCGGTGGTGGTGTTGCTACTGGTAGTGGTGGAAGAGGTGGTGGTGATGGTGAACGTGGAAGAAGTGGGGTTGTTAGGCACCACGAGGGTGGTAGCAGTGGTGGGGGTGAGGTTATGTCCGGCTCGTCGGCTTCACAAAGTCCCGACATCGCGTGCGCGAGAATCCCGCTGGAATTGTTCGCGGCTGGTGCGCTCGGCTCCGTCAAGGAGGAGCGAGACCTCGCCGCCGCGGAGGATCTGTCTTCGTCCCAAGAACCGCCGGCGGGTCGGCCGAACGCGAGGGAGTCCCTCTCGGTCATCGTACCCCCGCAGGACGTCGACGTCGACTCGCGGGACGCCGAGTCGGAACTCCTTAGTCCTGGCAAACTTTCGCCAACATCCGGCATTAGTGTTTCCGTCGCGAGTATGATCGACGCGACGGATTTTAGGGCGATGCAGCCAGAACCAACGTATCAAACATTGACCTCAGTGGCAGAAAGAATGTCGCCACCTGGTTTTAGTCCTGGATCTTCGTATGCAACATTGACGCCACTTCAGCCGTTGCCGCCAATTTCGACAATGAGCGATAAATTTGCCTATGGAGGACACGGCGGCAGTGGTGTTACTGGAAGTTTTGCCGTCATGCAAAATAACGGCCTTGGAAACATTGGCATCGGAGGCATGGGTGGCTCGCCTTACGCGTACGATAAACTACCTTCGATGGGAATGTCACCTCCGCACAATTATCCTTCACCTGGCGGAGGTCTTCAACCAAGTCCTCTATCACCGCAGAGTGCTTACAGTCAAAGTGCTCTGAATTCACCTCATAAATCGGCTAGTCCACATTATGAACCAGCTTTTTTACCCAGGTTACAGCAGAGTCCCGCTGCACTAAGTCCGCCGTCGCCTCCGGTTTCGGTGGCACCAAGTTTCGCGCCATCTCATCATTCCCCAACGGCACTCTCGGTACCAGCTGCATCACCACCTCCTATGCAGACGCAGCTTCAGCAGCAGCAACAGCAACAACAACAACAACAACAACAGACGATTCAACAGCAGGCGATATCACACACGCAACATGTGCAACACACGTCGGTCGTGATGAAGACGGTGTCAGCGGCAGGCAATGGTGCAGGAGAAGTCGAGGAGATCAACACCAAGGAGCTCGCCCAGCGGATAAGTGCCGAACTCAAGAGGTATAGCATACCTCAAGCGATATTCGCCCAGAGGGTCTTGTGTCGCAGCCAGGGTACCCTCAGTGATCTTCTGCGCAATCCTAAACCCTGGTCCAAACTCAAGAGCGGACGTGAGACGTTTCGACGGATGTGGAAGTGGCTCCAGGAGCCCGAATTCCAAAGAATGTCTGCTTTGAGACTTGCAGGTTAGTCGCTAATTTGGTTCAATGAACCTTGCACCCTTTTTTTTTTTTTTTTAAACAAAACAAAAATAATAATCTTAACCAAAATAGAGAAAAAAGCACCAGACACTGATCGACGGAGATCGTCACGATTATATTTTTTTGCCTGTACCTATATAAATTTCCTGTAGACGTATCGCTATATGGTGAAACGTCTTCATGAATCCCCTCACAAAACGCTCCGCACTGATTTCGTCATAATGCAAAAATTTAAAACGCGCTTTAATATCAATTATTCTCTCTACTTTGTTTTTTCTGTGAATACGTTCAATCTGTCGAAATTATGGAAAAATAATGGTAATTGTAACAAATATTTTGTTTATATTTTTAGAAACGTTTGCCATTTAGTTTTTTTTACAATAACAATTAAAAAAAGTGAGTGTAACAATTATTTGAAATCATAAAATAAAATGTTATATCCAAATATATAATGAAACAACATAATCATGTGTAATCTAATACACAATATAATATTGTTGAACTACATTAGCTCATTAGTGAAATCTACTCATTAGTAGAATATCATTATTACGTAATTTAATGTAGATAATGTTTATTAAACAATAGTAAAATGAACATTGTTATGTTATCCAATGTTGATGAATTAAACTACATAGATGAGTAAAATTATTAAACTATCGTAAACAGAGAAATCAAATCATTTTTCTTATATATATTTTTTCTTCTCAGCAAATTTAAATAAAAATCAAAATAATCATAAATTATTACTAAAAAAAGTATAGTGAAAGTGAAATTTGAAAATTAATGTTTTTGAATTAGTTTACTAAAGAAATGCAAAATAGTTTGTCGAATTTTATGCAAAATCTGCAACAATACAGGCAAAAAAATCTTCACCTAGATCAGCGATGTTTCACTAAAATAGCGAAAGTTTTCACTATTCTAAATATTACTGTTTCAGAGAAAGTTGAAGATTTTTCTGGATGTATGTTCGATTATGTTTTTGATTCACTTGTGTTTAGATTACTCAACTGTGGTTAATATTGCTCAACAATAATTTATATTACGCAAAATAATGAAATTTTGCTCAACAATTGAATAGAATTAAATGTTACACTGAAAAAAAATTCTGGTTAGGCTATATTTAACATTACTTTCTAGTTATGTTAACCAGAATTCTAGTTGAATTAACTAGAATTCTCGTTAAAATAACCAGAATTCTGGTTAACCTAACCAGAATCAAAATGTTAAATTTACCCTAACCAGAATTCTGGTTATTCTAACTAGAATTCTGGTTATTCTAACTAGAATTTTTTTTCAGTGTACTATATTTAGAGTAAAATGTTTCTAACTGAAGGTAAACGTTACTAATTTTGCTAAAAGAAGTTAAAATATTACTAAATTTCTGTCGCTGAAGAAAGGCTTAAATTAATTTCAATATTGCTAAACCAGCTGCAAGATTTTTCATTTTAAAAATTAATATAATTTCAAAGTGATAATATCTCTAATTGTAAGTCTAAGTTTGTAATCAATACTGAAAATTAGTACGAACTGTCTTAATTTTTAGTATTAGAAACTTAGACCCAAATAAAGATGTGCTAATTTTGAAATTCATTACACAATAATTTTCGAAATGAAAATTCTCAATCCAAATTTTGACGATTGAACGTATTCTAATGATTTTTAAAAATCAAGTATTTTTATTGATACTGTTTTTCATAGTAACCAACTGCTTTTGCAATTTGTAGGCGTAGTCGTAGACTTTATTGAGTTTATAATTTTAAGGAGAAATATTATTTGGCAATATATTTTAGAAAGTTTCTGAAAAAAGTAGTTGTTCGTGTCTAGTTGCAAGACTAGAGGATTAGAGTGTCGCCTCCTCCAGGTAAAGCAATAAAAATTGTTAACCTCTAGTTTTACAGATGTTTAGCAGATGTTTTCAGAGATTATTGACTAATTGTAAACTTCCCACTCCGTAGACAAAATTTTGTCTACTTCAGGTAAAGTGTGTACAGTGTGCGTGATTGCGGTACCTAAGGGCAGGTCAGTTTTTCCCAGTTGACTATGAGCAGTCGTCCCGCTAACAGCTCACTTGTATTTTTTATATAAATATATCTTTCAATGTTCTATTTTAAATTGTTTTGTCTAGTTATTTTATGAACAAACCTTTTTAATTTCCAATAGGTTATGGGCCCAGAACATATTCGCTGCGCGAGTGTATTTATATTGAAAAATAAAGGCCTAGAAACCCAAGTGAGTGTCGCGTTGTAGCATCTTCGCGTAGTAGAAGCGTGTCGCGTCATAGAAGAGTCTATGAACATTTTCCGCTATAAGAAGTGATTGGAACTTGAACACTGCGTGCTTACAAGTGAAGTGCAATTTTTTTTCAAAGTGCAAAGTGTAGCAGTTATAAAGTTACTTTTACCATGGCTGAGGAAAAAGAAACTTTTGATATAACTAAACTCGATGGGACAAACTACGCAATGTGGAAATTCGGTGTTTCAATTGCCCTGGAATCCAAAGGTGTAATGGGTCATATAGATGACACAGAAGAAGAACCGGACAAAGCCACAAACGTTACTGATTGGAGAAAATGGAAGAAGTCAAATTCCACATGCTCTATGATTTTACTTCAATCGGTGGAGAAGAAGTTACATCCCCATTTGATAAATTGCACAACTCCAAAGGATATGTGGAATAAACTGAAAGCTCTCTATTGTGATTGTAATGAAGACTTAAAGCAAAGTGCGTGGGAAGAATTTTATTCGTTTCGCATAAAAGATGGTGAATCCATATCATTACAGATAGAGAAATTAGAGTGCATCTGCAAAAAGCTTACTGATGCAAATGAAAATCCTTCCGATGCGGCTGTTGAGTCAAAGCTATTAAGCAGCTTGCCGCTTAGATTTTCTTCCTTCAGAATGGCCTGGGAATGTACTCCAAAAGCGGAGAGAAAAAAGGAAAACCTTATTGCAAGACTTATGCGAGAGGACAAGCGATTAACCGAAGTAGAGAATAGCGTATCTACATTAGCACTGCAGGTTAATTCTCTCAATATTAAGGATAATCAAAACGGAACAACCACAAAAAAGGATGTCAATAAAAAACCTGTGCATGAGAAGAAAATTGAAAACCTCAAGAAGCGAACTAAGTGTGCTTATTGCAAAGAAAAAGGGCACTGGGTTCGTGAATGTCCAAAAAGATTAAATGCAAAGAAAGATAATGCCGATGATAGAAAAACGGCATCAGCATATCTGTCCGACAAAAATGCATTTGTATCTGAGGAAAGTGAAGAAGAGGACTTCTGGATAGCAGATTCAGGTGCTAGCAGGCACATGACATACAGAAAAGATTTTTTTTCTTATCTGGCACCGGTAAAAGAAGATTATTTTGTGAAAATCGCGAATAATAAAGTTTTAGCAGCGAGTGGTGTAGGCACAATAGTAATTCAAGAGGAAATAAATGGCAACAAAATCGAAAGAGAATTACAGGATGTGTTATTTGTGCCGGAGTTGAAACGAAACTTATTTTCTATCGGGACTGTGAATAATAAGAAGTTTTCGTTTCATGCTTTTGAAAGTAAGTGCGAAATTCGCGATAGTGATGGGCAGCTTTCATCACTTGGTGTACGTCATGGCAATTTATTCCGCATGTTGTTTAAAGTGAAAGTGCCAAATGAATGCAACATAGCTCAAACTAAAAAAAGTGAAAAGAAAAACATGCTAAAGCTTTGGCATGAACGCATGGGACACGTGAACATTTGTGCGTTGAAAAATACAAGTAAAGTTTACACTGTTAATAATTTTTCTTGTGACAATCACGATGATTTCTTTTGTGAAGCATGTGTGATCGGTAAGCAAACGCGAAAGCCACATCCATCAAGAAACAAGAAAATTGACTGTTTACCAGGTGAACGAATTCACACTGATGTTTGTGGTCCGATTAATATCGAATCCCCGCGAGGATCAAGATATTTTTTAGTGTTTAAAGATGAGTGCACAGGATATCGCAAAATTTATTTTCTGAGACACAAATCAGAAGTATTCGAGAGATTTAAGGAATTCTCGAATTTTGTGACTACTCAGACAGGAAATAAAATTAAGTTCTTGCGCTCTGACAATGGAACCGAGTACACATCAGACGAATTTAGCAAATTCGTAAAAGAAAAAGGAATTGTTCACGAATTCTCCTCCCCGTATATTCATCAGCAAAATGGCCGAGCTGAGAGAGAAATAAGAACAATTGTTGAAAGTGCGCGAGCTATGCTTTTGGACAGTAACGTTAATAGAAAGCTATGGACGGAAGCAATTAACACAGCGTGTTATACACTGAATCGAGTTGTGTTTCAACCAGGCGAAACAAAAACTCCCTACGAAAAATGGTTTAACCGCAAACCTGAGATAACGCACCTGCGAGTTTTTGGGAGTAATGCATATTTGAATGTCCCGAAGGAAAAGAGAAAGAAATTCGATCCCAAAAGCAAGAAGTTAATCATGGTAGGCTATGATGGTGAATCAAGAAACTATCGATTATGGGACGAAAACACGCAGAGAATTCATATAAGCAGCGATGTCGATTTTAAAGAAAAAGAAAAAATTGACAAAGAAGAAGCAAATGACAGTAGCTGTCATATAGAAATCGATTTTGGAATCAACGAAGAAGAGGAGCCAGAACCAGAGGAAGCTGTACAAGAACCAGAACGCGAGGAAGTGATCCAGGAACCAGCAGAAGAAAGAAGAGAATTACGAGATAGAGCAGGTATAAAAGCACCTGACTACTACGGCATGCCCGTTGCATATCTAGCAGATATTATCCCTATGACGTATACCGAAGCTCTTTCAAGTTCAGAAGCAAATTTATGGAAAACAGCTGTTTCCGAAGAAATCAAAGCCCTTGAAGACAATGAAACTTGGAATTTAACAACTTTACCGCAAGGAAAGAGGACAATTGGTAGTAAATGGGTCTTTTCTATCAAGAACAATCCTGATGGCAGCATCAATCGATAC